TCTGTCAGTGGGAGCAGGTTTCCCAAATAAGCCAAATGTTTGCACTGAAAATGAAGAAAGACATGGCAGTGAAGCCACAGAGGGTGTGACTGCAGGAACTTACCTGCTCTTTAACAGAAGCCAGGAGGTTGTTGGTGGTTGGTGTGGCGGCGCTGGACTCACACTGGCGGCCTTGACGGCTTGGCCCTTCTCTGACCACCATGGGCCCTTCCCCTCCTGCATCAACTTCCTCCATATCCTCCACGTCCACAGATCTGTCTGGCTGCTGCACGCTCCTTCTCTGACCCTGCAGGATGGTCAGGATATGGTTTAATGCTTCCATAATCATGCTGACATCACTTACAGTAATCATTGTTGGTTTTAATAGCAGGGATTCTCCCTCTGAGCTGCTGAAATATCTCAGACTCTATGGTATTCCACCAATAAATTATTGTTTCCTATGATTGGGCTTTTTTTTTCCAACTAGACAGAAGATATTTTCTCATGCATATGATTTTTTTGAATGATCAGGTCATTCAGAAGGATTTAACCCCTCATCATTTGGTCATGCAGCTGCAGATTTCTGCACAGGTGCTGTGCACGCTCACACACACACACACACACAGAGGGCTGCAGGCTGCATCTTTCCACTCTATATCTCAGGTCTCCATAAAACACTGGAGCCAAGCGTGTTCACAGGTGAGCATGCACCATGCATGAGGTGCAGGCGACCCCCCGTTATTATTAAACGTGCAGCCTGATTGTGATCCTTGCACCCCCATCCCACCATCCACTAACCGGCAGCCAAGGACGAGGTCACACCGCCTCAGAGAACCAGAGCCAGCGACGCTCCCCGCCCGCCGCTGCGCGCGACTCCCCGGCCAGATGTTGCTGATAGGAGCAGGCCACAGCTGGCTCAGTCCGCATCCATCCTCTCCCTGCAAAGCGGCCGTGACAGCTAATCCATTGCCGCGCGCGCCGACGTCACAAACAAACAAACAGCCGCGTGCGCGTCCTCGCGCTTCTCCTTGCAATTATGATTCCCTCTTTGCCTTTGTTTGCGTCCAATTAATCCCGTATGCGCGTTTCGGAGGGGTCAAACGCTTCCTGGCGTCCCGGCTGCACCGTGCCACGGGCGCTGAGCATCAGCGGCGTGACGTCACCATGCGGCTATGGATTATTTCCGATCGGAAGATCGATGAGGAGCCGCGGCCGGAGCCTTCAGCAGCGGCAGCTCCTTGCAGAGCGCTCCGGTGGAGAGGAAGGATGCAGCCTGCAGAGCTTAGTGTGTGTGTGAGAGCAGGGGCGGATTTAGGAAATCTGGGGCCCTAGGCAAAGACAGGCAGAGGACCCATTATACAGATAGAGAAATGTTAATAGAATAGACATCCATTATTTGTTCTAGGTTTTCTCACTCTCTTATATTTCACAAAACATATTTCTCTATGTTTTGTGATTGTTTTTCATGCCGTCTCAAAAGGAATGAAAGATTTTTTCCCATCACTAAGCTCACTTAGCTAATTGCTCCTTCCTGTGTTTCCAAAAAAGTAAATAACCCAGTCCTCACTGTAGACGAGCCATGATCTGCTTCTCTGTTCTCCATTTTTCATTTGGATGAAATAATAGCTGCATGAATCACGACAGCAGACAAGATAGAGGAGAGCAGGAGGCAGGGTTACCAATCTACTTGCTCTGGAGAGTAGAGTTCGCTGCTTTTGTTGTCGCCAAGGTCTCCAGTAGCAGAAAAAGTTGCTAGATTTGGTGCTAGATGCTTTTTTGAAATCAAAGATCTAGAGGGGTCTGGAAAGTGGCTAAATATAGCGACAAAAGTGCATAGTTTGTTTTCAAATGGTATGCTGCTGTCTGTTTGGAGGTTTTTGAACATGTACAGCAATGTTGATCCAATATGGCGGACACTTAAGGGGGTGGGGGTTTGAGACACAATATTGTAAGCGTTCTGATGGCATTTTAGCCAAATAATTTTTTATCAAAAACAGAATTAAGGAATAATTGTATTAACCATACATGTAAACAGAGTTCTATGGGGGCCCCCAGGAACTTGGGGCCCTAGACAGCTGCCTAGTATTGCCTAATGGTAAATCGGTGCCCCTGTAGAACAGGTCATGGCCCATTATGGCCCCTGTATATAGGACATCATATATACATTTATGATAAATGAAATAAACAGGCAGAGAGGTCACACATAGCTTATTTTACTATTGTTATCCTTACAGTTTTATTTTAACAATGCAAACTGAGCAAGTTATGAACTTAATTGAAATTAATGTTAACATTAACTTGCTGCACTTCAGGCATAGTGAGATATGAACAGTTTTCTTCTGCTTTGAGGTTTTTTAGAGCAGCAAATGGCTCTTTGGTTCTCTTAATGTTCTACAGGGGAGGTCTTAAACAGGGGGTCCGCGTCTCCTAGGAGGTCCATGGAGCTACTGCATGGGGGTTGCAAATGTTTTGGTTGATTAGACTTTTTTTTTTATATTCCCACCCTGCAATTTTTTTTCATATAGTTGAAATGTCTTTAAATAAACATTAACATGAATTAAACACTGAAGTAAACAGATAAATGGAGGCAGAAGATGTCTTTCAGTCATCAATGCACACATTCAGCGACACACAGGAGTTCTTTCAAGCTGGGCACCGTTTCATTCACAACACCTGTCCCATCAACCAGGAATCAGAATCAGGAATACTTTAATAATCCCAGGGAGAAATTACTTACGTTACATGACTCCATATGTGACTTTAGAACCAGCTTGATAAAACACAATTTCATACAATATATATAATCAGAGGTTCCCCGCTCCATCAGTTTGGGGGTCCTTGACCTGGAAAACGTTGAAGCCCCCTGTTATACAGTAAACTAACTTTTAGCCCTTTTTTCTTTTGTCATTCTTTGATTCGGTGCCCCAATGTTTGAGGCTAATAAGTTGATCTGCTAGTAGAACAACTATTTTATCCTTAAAATAAGATTAATATTATCCAATTGGAATAAGATAATGGTGTTGTTAGGATAATCAGAATCAGAAATACTTTAATAATCCCAGAGGGAAATTACTTTTGTTACACGCTCCAGTTAGTTTTATATAATATATACACACATCCAACTATACAATATAATAAAGATAAAAAAATAATAGATAAAATATATACACATATAGCTCTTCTGTATATATATCTGTACGTATATCTATGCATATATAAAAACTGAATCCCAATTATCATTGATGATGTGTGCGTTTTTTACACCTTAATATTAGCTGCCTGTAGCGTGGCAGAACCGATTCCAAAAAAGTTTAAAACAATCCACTGGACTTTGTTTCCAAGTTTGAAGACGTTTCACTTCCCATCCAGGAAGCTTTTTCAATTCAAAATGTCAACGATATCCCTGACATTTAGAATTGAAAAATATTCCTAAATGGAAAGCGAAACGTCTTTAAACTTGTAAACAAAGTCCAGTAGATTGTTTTTAATTTTTTCGGAATGACCTGGATGATTGAGAACCTTTACCGGAGCGTCAGAACTAATGTTTTCCCCAGTAGTTTATCTAATTAGGACGGTTCCTCTGTCCTGGATATAAAGTTATAATCTTCATCTTGGTGGCAAATATTTGGGAATAGAATAAGAATTTGATAAGGCTGAAGCCATAGATGCCTCCTCATCAGATGTAAAATATGTTGTGGCAGAATGGAGATGAATAAGATGCCTCTAACTGTTTTTCGGGGCCACTTCCCGAGAAGTGAGCCCGGCTGGTAAGCAGCTGCCATTCTGTAGTTTTAAGCAACTTCTCTGATCTAAGATTACAATTTCTATCAGAATCTGTTGTCATATCTCCTTGTTTTTAATAGATATGTTATGAAGTGTTATTTAAAGAGTTTGTCCCGACTGGTCTCCTTTCAGGGAAAGGAAACGGAGAGAGAAAGCTTCAAGGTGTAGACACAGAGTTTATATTTAACAGTGTTTCAAAAGTAAATCACGTAAATTTATTGGTATATTGACTAACTGCTCAAATAAAGGAAAAAAAACTAAGAAAAACTGACTTCCTTATATTAGTTTTTGCAATGAACAACATAATAAATCCAGACGACGTTGAATCAGAGGCTGATGCAGCTTCATATTTAGAAAAAAGGATAAGAAAACACCACCACTCATGAACATGCACATGCCCATTTATTGAAGTGACAATTAATAGTGTGAGAGCAGCCTTTCAACAAGAGAAGAGTTACACACTGAGAAGTGAAGAGAAGGGGGCTCGACCTCCTTTAAAACGCTGCCTTCTTCAGTTTTGTCTGGCGTATTTGTATTTTTCAAACCATTGCTTCAAAATTTAACAAGTAAAAGCGAAAGGGAGAGAAGAGCTTTGAGACGTTAAGCCACTAAAGGTTCCTACTTCTGCTCTGTAAACTCAAAAACACGACAGAACACCGTTCACCTGAATATTTAACAGATCATAAATAATAAACCCGTACCTCAAAGGAAAAAAAAAAGATCAGAACAGGATACATTCTCTGTTACTTTCACTGCAAAGTAAAACCAGTGTCAACACTTTTCACGGCACACACAGATGTGATATATTTAAATAAAACAGCTGCGTTAAAAACTAGGTGGTTCTGCGTCTCGTCGTCGTTAATTAGATGGATTTGTTTTACCACATCGCTGGAATCCTTCATTTTTAAGCGAATGTCCCTGTGGGATTAGGATTTTACTCAGTCATGCCGTAAAATGACTTCTATTAGATGAGTCAAGGCGAAGGCGTTTTAAAGTGAGACAGGAATCCATTACCTGCCGATGATCCTGGCAGTCAAAGTAATGGGACAAAAAGAGGAGGAAGAGGAGATCTCTATCGTCTGCAGAAGCACTTCTGGTGCAACTTTAAAACGGCTCCCAGCACCCGGGAACATTACGGTCTGTTTCTAATGGATTCGCTCCTTCCTTTGCTCTGCTGCTTCTAAGGATTCGCGTCAAAGAGAGGCGGAAACGACGGGTTGTCTGCATTTTTTTTTCAAGTTGCACGTCAGTTTGAACCCTTTTAAGAACATTTTACTGTAGATTTCGAGATTTATCAAGGAATGTAAAAACATAAAAGAGGAAAAGGAGCTTTTGAAATTCAAGTTTCTTTAGTTAAAATCCCACAGCCTATCCAGAAACTGAAAAGTTTTGATCTTAGCTGAAGGGGAATGTAGTGATTTCACAGCGATAAAACAAGCTTGGCACTTTTGCACTAAAGCATCTAAAGCGGTTTGCTTCAGCCTCGTCTGATTTATTCTTGTTATTTTGGCAGGTAAACAGCAGCGAGGCTGTATGTTTCTTACTTTGAGGAGGTGAGAGAAGTATCAGCAGGATTAAAAAGAAACAAATAAATAAAAAAATTTGGCTCCTTTTTACCCGAACAAACCAAAGCGACTCCGGCCGTCAGCTTTAACTTCGTCATGTGATCACAGCTGCAGGGTTGCTGTCTCAACTAATGTTCCTACTTGCCGTCTCAGCCGGAGAAGAAGCGCACGACAGCTTCAGGATGGCAGGAGCGAATAATATACACGCCACTGGAACCACGATTCATCAGCATAAACATTTAAAGTCGATCTTCATACGTCCAGGGCGGGAAGCAAACAGCAACAAGGCCGCTGTTGGATTCCAGCCCTGCTTTCAAATCGAGCAAAGAAATCCAAACGACACCAACACTAACTAATCTACTCAGAAACAGCATTCTTTTCTCTTCTCTCCATAAAAATTAAAGCAATAAATAAAGACAGAAAGTTGCATAAACATGAGCACAACCCCTAACAGTCAGTGGATTTACAATAAACATGACGAAAACTAAGAGGTTTGTTCACACCTTCATGTGGGGGGAAAAAAAATAACAACCTCAATGAACAGCCCCTTTTTTTTGCTGCAAATCAGAAACGGAGCCAATTAGTCCAGATCGTCCACATCCTCCGTCATGACGGTGCTGGTCTGTTCTGAGGTCACACCTGGAGAACAGAGACAAACATTGCATGCATGATTTTAGTCGCTTCTTCAACCTGTCATCTGCCCTACATCAGTGAAAGCCATGGAAATATTTTCCTTTTAATACATCTGTGAAGGTTTTCTTTTAAATGTGTCCAACCTGAACATTAACTCTAATTTAATGTTTTTTTAATGCTCCTTTAATGCTCTTAGAAATTATTCTAATGCCTAAATTTATACAACTAGTCAATAATGATAGGTTTGAGAACAACTGAACCATTAATCAATAAAAATAAATATGTTAAGATTCATGCTGTTAATGCATTCAATCAATATCAGTATTGGTCAAAACCCAAATTATATGTCGGAAATGAAAAAGCTATAACAGGAATAACTTGCCTTGGCATATTAGATCAGCAGGCTCCTTTTAAGGTTTTTAAATCCTCTTTAAAATCACATTTCTTCTCCCTGGCTTTTAATCATGTCTAAGTGGACATCTGGCAAAATTTTATTTTAAATTTAATTTTATTCAAAATTTTATTTTAATTGAAACATTTATCTTATTCTATTTTTATGTGTTTATGTATTTTAGCCTTTGGCTTTTATCTTATGTTCCTTAACTGTGATTCCTGTACAGCACTTTGGTCAACCCTGGTTGTTTTAAATGTGCTTTATAAATAAAGTTTGAGTTGAATTGAGGAAATCCCTTCTCTAAATCACCCTGAGGAATCTTTCACATCTATTTCAGTCCTCTTCCCTCTAAGGTTTAGGGTCCATAAGAAAAAAAGAGACGTTTTCACACGATTGATCAAACACTACACATAAATAGCTGCAGATGTATGTAAATTTATCTCTAATGAGGGGAAACAATGATTGTGCACATCTTATTTCTTTCTCAAAGTTTGTTTTTTATGATAAAAGTTTAATTATCTTTAAATATAATGATTGATCGACCTAAAGGATCATAACCTTTCATTTTATGAGCTTTTTTTGTATAAAGTGTACAACTAATTTAATATCTCCTGTGACGGTTCTGGATGAAGATAAGGAGACATCCAGCAGGTTTTATCCCAAAGGATAAATCGGACTAAATTATCTTACCCAACCTATTTAAAATATCTTTTAACAATAGCAGAACTCTAGTTTAAACAATTTAATAGCTCCTTAAATATAAAAACAAAGACCCACTTTGTTACAATAGGAAATGTATCATATTTTATTTATTTTTTTATTTTTATGTAGAGATTACAAATTCATCCATTTCTTAAGTAAAGATGAGACTCTTAAGGCCAGAAAACACCAAATCCGTTTTTGCGTGCGATCCGACAGAAAATCTTATCGGAAGAGGTTGTGTTTAGCGCTCATTGAATGTCAATGCGGATGATCACCACCTGATTTTCTGCAGCTCTGACTGAGATAGAACCCAGGTCTATTTTAGTCAGACTACGCAGCGATTCAATGGATCTGATAGGAAGAGAGGCGCGGTTTCAAAGTAAAACACATCCGGTTTGGGGGAATCACAAAATAAAAGCCGTTAATCACACGGGGAAGAGTCTGTTTTGGCGTCACACATTGCGTTATATAGTAAGCTGGACAATGAATTAAGGAATGAATGAATGAGGCGGAAAGAAAATGGATTAAATATGAATCCATTGGGGCCTCGCAAAATCGTCCCACGGTGTTTATTGCTGTGTTTATTTTTTCTTTAGATGTAGACCTCATTATGTTTTCAATATATGAACATTCTCTATCTCTTCTAGTTTGAGGAGCTGCACTAAATTCTTTTAGTGGAGCTTTATTTTAAAGAATGTTTTTATTATTATCATTGTTTTTTTAAATAACTTTACATAATCTGTCCAATCTGTGTATAGCATATAGAGAGGAGTGAAAAACAATCTGCCCACCTCAGTCGGGGCCTCTCCAGTTAATGTGACATAGATTTAAAAATTGTACACAAGCTGTGTGTTTAGGCCTTTAAGCCCATTTTGTTGTGTTAACAGTTTAATTATCTCTTCATGTTGAGATAATGGGACCTCCAGCTTTCAGCAGCTCAAAATACAAAGGACATACTTTCATGAATCATTGTCTTAAGTCGAGAGAAAACCTCCAGCTTTTTTTTTTAAAGAAAAGTCTTTTTCATTTAATAGTTTACAAAGCTAGTGAAACTTTAAGCCTCTTTTGATGCTAAATACTTAAACAGATTTATCATCTCTTCATATACAGATAAAACTTCAGATTTGATTGCTTCTGACACCTTTTATAATCTGTGCCTGTTTTTTTTTTTAATCGCTTTTAACGACCTTTACTTTCAAAGCTCCTTCCATCCAAGATCATATTTTATAAACAGTCAAACCATCAGATATCCTGTAGTGTTTAACAGCGAGTAAAATGTTTTTACTTGAAGTGTCATCATCGTTGCCAGACTTCTTCTTTTCCTCCATGTAGCCGTGACTGAGCAGCTTGGACATGCTGACCGGAGGAGCCTTCTTATCGTAGGATCTGAGGAGGAGAAGGTCACGCTGTAAAACCTCTCATCTAACACATCTATGTTGGTGAAGATGAAACTATTTCTTACATTCTCTTATACTTGTTGGTCAGGGACAGACCCTCTATCTCGTCCGCTGCATCATTTGGAGACATCTGCAGATTGGAGAATTAACCAGATTTAAATCTGTTAAAGCAGCAGCAACATGGCTGGGATTCAGCAGGAAGACACAGAACACATGAATAAATGAGCTGCTGGGGGACAGGAAGCCGAGCAAAGGAGGAAACAAGGAAAACCTAAGGAGGAAATTGTCATGCAATGAAAAAATAAAACAAAATCCAATATGATCACAACAAACAGAAGGGAATCCACAGAAAACATTTTAAAATGAAGCTCAATTACAAAACCAAATATCAGCTTTGATCTGATGGATTTTAGTTTGGAAACTCAGAGATCTGCAAAAGTATTCACACCCTTAAGCCCCTGTCACACCTTCACGATTTATCCGACGTATTCCTGACGTCAAAGAATCTTCTAAAACGCTGGCATACGCTGAACTTTTTATGTATTTTTTAATTTTTGGCGTATACATACAGTATTCATAACGAGTCCAGAGAATATGTCCAACAACAGCCTAACTTTTGCATAACCCTTGGCAGAGTAATGTCCATGAAATCTCACTAGCCAGTGTCCTAAGGGGGCAACTAGGCGCCCAGAGGCGCCGGGACTGCAAAAAAAGATTTCTTTGATCGCGGTATTAACCTAGCTGCCAAAAAAAAAAAGAATGAATAAATAAATAAAAAAGAAAGAAGGTTTGTAGTCACAGGAGATTCAGCGTCATGTCTGCTAGGAACTTTATTGGTCTTGGCATGAATGCAGGGAGGATCCATCACACTCACATTCATGCTCAGCCTATGATGGGGATGCAGTCTGGAGGACTACAGATAAAATCCTCCTGTGAACCCCCTTTTAAACCAAAGCGCTGCCAATACGACATACAGCAGCTGTAAGTTAGGAACACGTTCATCGGTTGTCTGGAACACGTCAAATACACTGATATACATTGGAGATAATTTCTTGATAAGTTCCAAATAAGTTATGCACAAGTTAAGGCCAATTTATGCTTCTGACGCATAGCCTCTGCAACTGTCAAATCTGTCTGCGTGCCCCAAAAAAATCCTGACTATGTGTCGGACACTCGCAAACCCGCACAGACAAAAAGCAGCTGTGATTGGTCCTTGGTACGCCTTTCCCACAGTCTGTGTGGTCGTCCTTCTCGATTCGGTGCCGGAGCGCGCCATTTTTAAAAACCGAGGAACAACTACAATGGACAACTACAATGAAAGCTTAATCGAGGAGGTTCGGAGGTACAACCACTTGAACGATGCCAAGGTCTCTGCCAAAACAAAGTTTCTCGTGACCATCCGCCAAACTTCTCGCAAGTTCTCTTGCGCTTTGGCGGGAAACTGCTGTGCGTCCCTAGAAATTCCAGACCGACAATGCAGAAGCATACCAGCAAAACTGGTTCGCGACCAGACTCGAGCGACATTTGATGTGTGCGGTAACAAAAGTCTAATCTGTCCTTTACTCTTAACTTTTGGATAAGCTGGACACCACAACTTATGAGTAACTTACACTTAACGTATGTTAACGATCAGATTGCTTACCTTTAACGTATCCTCCTATAAGCTGGCATACGGCAGGACATTTTTAACATGCTCCAACTTTCTCGACATACTTGTCGTATGTCGACCTGTGCTCATAACTTATACAAAATGTACCCATAACTTATCCAACATATGCCAGCCTTTTAGGCAGATTTTTTGTACGTCAGGCATAAACTGGCTAAATCGCCAAGGTGTGACGGGGCTTTAGAACCTTTTTACATTTTATCAAGTTAAAAACCACAAACTAAAATGTATTTCGTCAACCAGATCACAATTGTGGACAACATCAAGTCCTTTTAGGTGTCTTTGACTGGCCTGCTAAAAAGGAAAGTAACTAATTCTGTTCACAGATGCGTTACTGAAAGCAGACAAAGGGGGTATCTCTTCAAGTTCATCCAGCTCAAACTAAAATAATGAATTAATTTTGATTTTAATTACCAAATGACATTTTTTTTAAATATATATTTTTTTAATATGATTACTCAGGTTATGCTAATGTCACATATCAGTTTGTGGCTTCTTTGTCAACAAAATGTGCTGAAGAAATCCAACCGGTTATGAATAATCTTGCATTACCTTGAGTTTCCAGATTACCCAGATTAGTTGCAACAAAACAGCCTGATTATTAGACATAAATGCACTGAGCAAGTATTTCCACTCAATGTTCCCAGAAAAAAAAAAATAAAACTCAACAAAGTACCTTCAGAAAATGAAATTTTTAACCAATTTCCAAATGGAAAAATGAGGTTGGGAAATGAAGGAAAGATCATAACTGAAATAATGATGAGGTAACAGATGGGGTGGCGTCTGCATGGCATGAATGTTGGGGAGTGACTAGTTTGGTTATTTCACCTTCTCTTTAAAACTATCAGTCTCTTTCTCCCAGGAGGAATTGTTATCAGTGCCAAACGGAGCAGCCAGGGGCTGCCTGCCCGCTCTCATCTGGCTGTCAGGAGACGTTGCTTTACTGCCACTGAAAGCACAAAACCACGGTGACAATCCATGTGAGATTTTCTGGGAACATGTCGCCTGCAGCTGCGACACTTTGCCAACAGACAGAGCCATCCTGGAGCATTTAGGAACATTTGATCTTGGATGTCAAAACCAAACTTGTTCAGGTACGAGTTCTACTACGGACTGAAGCTTTAAAAATGTTTTCCCTTAAATCGGTTTTGTGACGCTTCATCGTGTTTGACGTCTGGATGGAGGTCTTACCTCTTTGACTCATCCCCTCCGAACCAGTTTGGCGGGTTGTAGGCTTTCTTCGGTGCGTCATCGGCATCAGCATCATGACTCAATAGGCCTGCAGTAGGAAGGGGAACCCGGTTAATGGAGCTAAAACTCTGCAGGCAGTAATGACTAACTCCTATCTCACTTCAAAAACACCATGAGGGATTTAACTTTCAGCTCAGTTTCAGTGGCAAAAACAATTACTCCAAACTCTCAGAGTTGGGAATTCTCATTCCAAGACTGTTAAAATCAGAAATTCACAGCGATTGTTTTTATCTTTATTTAGCACCATTTTTTACACTAACTCTAGTTACTAAGGAGGTCTTTATGCACCATGGAGATAAGATTCCTCTAAAATGTTAAGTGCTGCCACTGTCCATTAAACACAAATAGGGAAAGAGGTTTCTGAAAGGGAATCAGAGCGGTGGATCTGTTTATAACATGGAGCAGTTTATGCTCTACATCTTCCTTCTGCTCCAGATGAAATCCCAGAGGGAAACATCAGCCTCAAACACACAGCGCCTCGCAAACATCCAACACAAACATCCTGTCTACATGATGCAATGAAGCTTGGTGTTGTTTAATAATGACATACATAGTTTTAAAGGGAGCTATATGGATTAGATTATCACATATTTTAATTTGCAATCAAAGCTAAACTGAAATGTAGTCATTTCAAATGAATGCTGGATTTCTATATCAAATTCTAAAATGTGACTTTGTTAACAGTAAGTGATATAATTTCCCACTTATCCCATATTTTCATATCTTATCAGCTGATGAGTCACCCTAAGGATTTCAAAGTCTCTAAAAAGTTGCAGATGCAATGATGCAGTTTTTTTCCTTGTGGACTGATTTAAAGTCGTAGGGAAGCGGCTGTTCCAACCGTTGCAGTTCTGAGTTCTCCCAGGTGGTGCCTAAATTTACACATATAGAATAAACTGAATGTGATTGGTCGTTTATCAAGGGGGCGGGATTGTTGTGGCAGAAGATTCGCAGGCCTTTTTGTTTGTGGTCAGTTTCTTAGAAGCAATCTTGCTAACCAGTTAGCTACTTAGTGCTATTAGGTTCGCAGTGGGAAAATAAATTGGTGACTTAGAAACGACACTGTCAAGGAACGCTATGAACAGGGGAAACATGCAAGAGGAGGAGAGTTTAGTGTCAGAGGTCGTGGATGAGTCTCTTCCTTCATACATTTTTTATTTAGAGGAGGAAAGCGGGGACGAAAATGTTGTGAAAGAGGACGCCAGGGCGGCAGAAGCTTGGTTTGGTGTAGAAGGCTTCCAGCCGTACATGTTTGAGCCCTTGCCTCACAACGCTGCCAGTTCTGTTAGCTCTACGCCTGCCGAAGACACAGACGTCCATCCCCGTGAACGCTAGGACGGAACTCAATGGGAAAGGAAATGATTCTTATTTCTTATTTCAACCGCTGCGTTTATTAGCTGCGACATATGAATCAAGATGCTATGACTGAAATAAATTTGATTGACAGATGACCGTTGATATATGATTGGCCGAATTTAGGTGTACAAGCTGACGTATAACTAACTGGCCAGCATAAGAAAACGAAAAAAAAAAAAACCCACAGATTTTAAGACAGGATTTTTTTTTTTTTTTTTGAAATTTTCTAAATGTTTGGGACAATATGGTCTGATAAAGAGTACATTTATATACATGTTTAAGCCAGAATGATTTGACATTTAAATATGATTTCTCTACGACTTTAAAGCTTGATCAATGCTCATTGTCCCATTTGGATGAAAATAGCAGGAAGTTATTAACTCTTGAGTTGATCTATGAAGTAAAAATGGAAATCATCAGCTTACCTTTGTGTCCTCCCTGCTTCGCCAGCTTGACATAGTCGGAGTCGCTCTCAAATATCCCCACTCGTCTCCCGCTGGTCCTCTCCACCTCTATGCTATCGGTGGCACTCTGGCAGAGACCGGGAATCTGGGAGGTGGGTCCGGTAATGCCGCTGTTATCAGCGCCTGGCTTTATGCCTGCAAACAACCAAAGCAAACATTTGCTTTAAGGCAACAGAGGGGTTCTCTGATATTCTCATATGATATAAGATACGAGCTGTTTTTTTTTTACTTTTTATATTGCTCTCATAAAAAGATTTGGTTGAATGGTTTTTACAACTTAATATGTTTAATTATGCATGCGTTGAAAGACCTGAGGCTGAGAGATGAAATACGTTTTTGTCGACAAGAAAACAACTCATTTCTAGGGGAAAACATGCCACTAACAAACATTTTAAGAAAATGAGAGAAGACAATTAGGTGAAGTTTTACCAGTCGTACCTCCAGGTTTGGTCCTTCGATGGTTGGGTACAGCAGTGCTCATTTTAACTGAAGATGGAGGAAAACCTGTGGACAAAAGGGGCAAACTTTTTAAATCTCCCAACTCTAACAAGTTAGGCTGGACAAAACTAAAAGAAAATTGTTTTAACGTAAAAAAACCTACAAAGAATTTTAATTAAATCAATCAATATAGTTTAAATTATTGGATAAAATTATAAAAACTAAAATCAGTAACTCCCCCATTAAAACCCAATGTGGATTTTTACATTTGTTAGAATATTACTCTTCTTTTTATTACTTTTTTTAAACTTGTAAATCAGTTGTGTTGCTGGCTGTGCCCACAAGATGGCAAAATATATTTCAATGGGATCTTTATCAGTTCAGTTGGAAGAAATTTTGATGGGAAGTAATCAAGATGGAATTTCTAAAAGGATTAAGGATTACTCATAAAATCTAAAATCTGGGCTTCCAGTCATTTTTTAAAGTAATAATGCATAGGTTGAATATGAGTATTAAACAAAGACATGTTGATAGATCAACAGATCAATGGATAAACAAACGGATGAATGGATGCATACGCAAGTATACATTAGAGGTAGACCAATGCTTCGGCCAGCCGATATTTTAGGCCGATATTGGTGTTTTTCTCTTGTATACACATAAGATACTAAATAGATGTTTGTGGATTCACCAGTGCAATCAGCAGCCATGCCCTGAGATCAACCTGAGGAGAAGGCATTGCCACTCCCTTATTTTGCAATCCACTGCAATAGGACTGGTACAACTAATTGGATTAATCGTGATTTATCAATTATTGCAATATTCATCAACTAATTCAGTTATCAATTAATTGTTAACTGTAGTATAGAGACTGTTAAACATGCCTGTAGCTTAAAAGCGATTCACTTAGAGCAGAAATTATAATAAAACTGTAAAAAATTCAATAAACATTTTGCATTTAAGAGGGAAAAAAAATCTGTCTGTTAAAATGCCCTATCCAGAACTCCTCCAGTGGAAAAGTTTAGTTTTAGTTTCAACTGGTTTAATTTAGTAAAAAGTCTTCTGCTATCCGACTATAAATCAATAAGTCGGAAAAATAATCCACAGATTAATCAATTAGCAAAATATTTGTTAGTTGCACCCCTACTCTGTAATACGTTTCCCTTTTTAATTTACACTGTTATTTGTTCTAATTAGGGCTGCAACTAACGATTATTTTAAAAATCGATGAATCGGCCGATTACTTTTTCGATTAATCGATGAATCGGACAAAAAATATTTTTTATATTAACTTCTTTATTCCAAAATAAACATTTTATTCAGAACAAACAAGCACACAAGTACAGGTTGCTCATTAACTGTACTGGTGCAATATGAAAAATAAATGTTTGTGTTAAAACTACGCAAACATACATGAGAAATGTAGCTGTACATCCACAAAATATAGGGTACTTTGTTTCATGAAGCGCAAAAAAATACATTTTTGTTTTTAAAAGCCCCTAAGGGGTTCAAACAATAGGTCCCCCCATTTCAACAAATGAGGTTTTTTTAGACTAGAAGAGTTCTGCCTTTTAAGACAGGAAAGTATAGCAGTTAGAGTTGCTACTTGAGAAAATACTCAACCATAGAGATAAAAATAGCCCTGTGATTCAGATTATAAATTGTATTTGGAATAAAAATGAGAGAACTAGGGGTGCTAAAAAACATCCTCCAAAGACAGATATTTACATGGCAATGTGGCATATAATTAATTGACATATTACTGATCTTGTTGGATTTTATTCTGCTTTACTTCCATACATTGCAGGATCTTCTTTACTTTATCTTTGCCAGAAGATTTAAACTTTAAAAGCCTTGCCCTCATAATTTGCAAGTTAATTTATTTATAAAGAAAATATAAACGCTGCTTAAGCTAATTCAAATGAAATTAAAAGTAAAATAAGTAGCCAACCTTATCACTGTCTGTAACCTACTAACACGGTAAGGAAAGCATCAGATGAGCTACCTGAGAAACTAACGTTACGTTTCCCCACTTTAAAACCAAACTGATGAGCTCTCTTCACTGCCATTGAAGGCTCCAACGTGTTTTCTTTTCAGGTGCTGCGTCATAACAGTGGTGCTTCCGTGCCATGTTCATTTGTTTTTACAAAAGTTGCATGTTACGACTTTTTTCGCTTTACAAAGCGCAGGCTATTTTAATTATTGTGATCAATTTGCGCCGTCAATCCCGGCGCATGCGCGCTTCATTTGCAGTCTGGACGCTGAGGGTAAACATCCTGCGGCTCTGACTGCAGCGCTGAGAGGGACTCCTGCGGGAGAACGGGATTGGGATGGGGGGGCACCCCACAGCAATGACGACGGCGGCGGATGACGCATTAATCGCGCGACACAACTAATCGATGATGAAATTCGTTGACAACGCTTTTAAAAGTCGATTTTTATCGATTCGTTGTTGCAGCCCTAGTTCTAATTTCAATCACGTGAGCGGGGGAGGAAGCAAATCCATATAATCGGTATCTGCTAGTGATGCTATGAGATGAGCCGAGATGAGGGGGTGGGGGGCGTTTCCGCGAGGCGCATATCGAGGCTTGCTTCTTTTGCCGGAGGAGCCAAAATTGATGACGTCCGAAGCCTCGCTACCCCGCCATACCACATGACCCCCTCGGGAAGCACTTAAGGTCACCCGGAACTTCGATAGGCATTTAAACAGCCTCCATATTCAGTCAAGATGTGGGAATTTGTAGGAGAGCTGCTGTCAGTTGTAAAAAGTTTGGATAGATTCTAAGAATAGATTGGTTGGAAAAACAACAGATCTAGTTGGTTAAAGCTAGTTTGGTTAGATTAAACAATGTAATGATAGAAATGTGAGCAAGCCATTGGGTACAGATGTAATGAGTTTTACGTAGTATTGCTTTCCAGATCGTTGTTATTTTGCTAGTGGCGTTAGCTGTAAGAAATAAACTGTTCTTGAGGTTGATGGATCAAGACCCACTTCAGACTTTTGAAAGTTGCGATAACATTTTTGCTAATGTGACTAATTTATATTGGTTTCCCCTAGTACAATACAGATTGGGTAAAAACACTGCAAAGTTATGTGTTCAAAGGAGTGGTTGAACACATAACTTCCTACCCGATTAAAACCAAAAACTCTGGAAAAACTATTAAGTTTGAAAAAAAACATCTTTCATCTTGTTCACCGATGCCAATTTGCAGAAGCACTTTCATTGTCTGCTTGAGCTTATTTCATCAAAAAGGGCAGAAAAACTGTGATTTTTCTCTTCTAAGACATTTCACACATACAAATATTGCAAAAGAGAACATTAACAATTTCAAAAGGAGTGTAGGAGTGTGGGAGTGTGTCTGTGTGTGTGTGGGGGGGGGGGGGGGGGGGGGAGAAAAAAAGAACAATTGCTAAAAAAAAATCCATTATATTACTAAGTGTTGTTCTGCACTCCACCAGTAGGTGGTGACATTTTCCCATGAGGCTTCATCTCACCATCATTAGTACCTGCCTCATAAAACCCTATTTAAGTCAATCTGTGATATAAATAGATGGACCTATATGCATGCACAACGAATTATGAATGGATGAACAGATGCATGAATACATTAAGGACTGATTTATGCGTGAAGAGATGCGCGCAACGGATGACCAGATTCATAATGGGGAGATGGGCAGACGCTTTGTGAATGAAGCGGTTTAAAAGAAATGGACGAAAATGTTTAATTTAATTAATTAATCAAACTGAATTATGCAGATGAAGAGATGGGTTAGCAATCAGGTGGATGAAATATTACTTAAATCTGGCAACTGCGTAAAAAAAAAAACAGACATTAGCGGCCAAACTTCGCCCAGTTACTAATGCTGTTAATATTTCCAGACTTTTAAAAACATACACAAATGTAAACGATCCTTTTATTTGACTCTTAACATTATATATATTTATTTATTATTTATCCATCTCTTACTTCGGCGCTAATGTGAGGTATAAATTAATCTGCTATGAGGCTAACAAAGCGCTGCTAGCTGAATTAGCCGCCTAGTTTCCAACGCTATCTTTATTTTTACACCGCAACGCTGCTAATTTCTGAATAAAACGCATATAACGACTGACAAATAAGTAAAATGTACAAAGTTCTTACTCTGGCTGAGCTGTATAATCTCTTATAGTTGATGCGCTGGGTTGCGGCAGTTAAAAAGCCACTAGCGTCGGGCTTTTTTCATACAGAGCTAACAGCTTCCGGTGACACCTGCTCCTCTCTTCCTGTCCACAACCAAAGATTGTTTATTAAGACAACGCCTTACGCTGTGAGATTATTAAACACGTGCACGTGAACGCTTATGGCTACAATAAGAGTGAGAACTCTGTCTTACACAAACTGTTTGAGGTACATGAATAAGTAATCTTTGTTCGGTGGGCAAAAAGGCTAAAATGAGGGACGTTTCTAGAAAGTTTTCACAGTGGGCTGCTTTCCATTTGCCTCTGAATTCAGTGTCATTCTACCCCTAATTTATTGTGTTGTTACTGCTTGCAAAAATATACCGTGAATAGTGTTTATTTTATTATCCAATGCATTTAAGCACTATCAAAAGATTCTCATTAAATGCACATAGTACTATTTGTGAGCTTGATCTACTGCAGCATAATCCATGCTTCTGTAGCATTTGATTGATGCTGAGGAGGTAATTTAATCACTGCAAATGCAATCATTTGAATAGTCTGTGCTGAAGCTGAGACCCTGGAGTCTGAGAACTGAGTCTGTAGAAAACTACCAAACCAAAACCATCTAAATGTGTTTTCAATAAGTTATAAAACAAGATAATAAGATAATCAGTTTTGGTTTTTAGATTTTCAGTTCAAGGGGGGGTTCTAGATGGGGGCCAACAGGTGCCTGTGCCCCTGTAGAACTGGTCCTGGCCCCTGTTATGGCCCCTCTACTGAAGACATAACGCCAAATAATTTTTGTATGATGATATGATAACAAAATATTTTACTGATTGTTCCGAAGACATTTTTAACAGGCTTATTTTACTATGATTTGAAAATCAAGCAGTTGCAAATTTAGCTATAAACTTATTTAGATGGGATCTTTTGTTTTTAAGGATCATTGATAAATTAAATTATGAACTTTTACCCTTTTTTTAATTTTTATTTTCTATTTTGCTCTGTGCTCCCATAAAAAAAAAAAAAAAAAACACGTGCCCCCCTGGCAACATTTGTCTAGAACCACCAGTGTCTAAGATTACAACCTTCAAATCATTTTAAGGTCTTTTACTGAATTTTCTTTTAATGGATTGTTGAAAGATTTAATTCGAATTTTTGTTCCTCTATGTCCAGTTTCTTAAAGTAAATGATAAATGATCATTTACCATAGCATCAAATCTGCAGCTAGGAGTTGCAGATTTCCTACCAACAGTCTACAAGCATTTATTTGTTTTTTGTTTTTTATTATATTCAGGGGTACCCACTCTCTACTGGCTGAACATTTAAACAACATAGATGTAAAGACAGAAGAAACAACATGTAATCATTGAAGATTTGTTTGAGACATCAGTACTAGTTCTATTTTTTTCTTTTCTTTTTTTAATGCCTTATACTGCTCCTCAACAAACTGGATCCTTGGCAGGGAAAATTATCATGCAAGTTAGAAGTTAGTATCTGTAGGTTGAATATCGCTGCCTGTGGCATAGGATGATTTTAAGGCTGGAAAAACAACAACAAATACATACAGAAAATAAAAAAAAGCAAATTTTACCCCAAACTGAGACTTACACCTATAGCTGAAATTAGCACATGATCGGAATCATGACCAAATTTAAATTTATCGTTCCTTGGCACGAGGCGCACAAAAAATGTCCATAACCCTAACCCTAGCTAACAAAGCAACACCCTTCTTTCTTTCTTGTGTTTTTGTCTTCAGTAAAACACCTACGAACTTTTTGAGTCCTATGCCGAGGATGTCAATAGTTACTGCTGCCACCCTCTGGTTTAGTGGGGAACTGCGTGTTCCGCCAAGTATCCCTATCTCACAATGTTAGAGAATCATAAAAAAAATAAATAAATCCTGAATCCAGATTATGATTCGGATCAGCACCAAAATTTAATGAAATTAATTAAAATTCCGTCTTAACTTTTCACGTTATCCTTAACACAGACAGACAGACGAAAGTAATCAGCTGAGATGTAGTTTTACTTTGACAACCTAATGCTTTTATTTCATATATTCTACTTATTCAAATAAAATTATTAGACATCAGGAAACACTGAGCTTGATTTAGTTTAAACAGATGACAATAATTAACCATAATCTGCCAGTATGTGAAAAAACTGAACAAATAGTTCATAAAAAAATAAAGACAACATAACGGCAAGTTATTAAACTAAAGTAAAAAAAAAATGTTTCTTTCAGATCCAAATAACTGATAACAGGCTTTTAATTTGACTGAAATCCAGGAATAAGTACTGATCAAACTTTGCTTTACTTGTACTTATACATTTTAGTCGATCTAAAATGGTTAGAAAAAAGCATTAGTAGGAACAATTATTAGATTTCTATCCTTTAAAAGTATCTTAATGCTGTTATTTGGTTTAACCTAGCAGTAATTAGGCCACAAAGACTTACACTCCAGAGTTCTTTAAGACAAAGTTTCACAAGTTTTGCAGATTTTCTTTCAAAACAAAACAAAGAAAGACAGCGTGGAAGTATAGATTATGCAAAATGAAATATAATATAACAATTAACATATTTTAAACTTGCTGCAGAGTTGTCTCCGTTAAGCTGGTTTGACTCTTCTGTCTATTCCACAGAGATCCTCAGATGTCTTTACCGCAGTCGGGACAGAGGATGTCCTCCTCGAACGTGAGGAAGCCTCGACCAACCAGCGACATGCTGCATTTTCGGCAGTTGAAACAATTGTTGTGCCACTGGCGATCCTCAAAAGAAATGTACTTGCTGCCCCCGAGACCTTAAGTTAAAACATAGAAGCGGAGTCTCATGATTTTTGTAATACAATTAGTCTGTAATTGATGGTGATTGGACACACTGGGGTACCGAGGGAAGCATATGATCTTGAGAATATGCATTTCAGCTTGGTGGTGTTAAAATCTAACCAAATATCACTTTGAAAGAGGCTTTGGTTAATATTTTCAGGTCCTTTCATGACAAAAAACAATTAACACATGTTATTTAAAGAAAACTATATTTTTTTTCTGAGCCTGACAGTTATGAGGGTCTAGCAGGAACTTAAAAACTATAGTTTTTTTAAACTTTTTTATTCCAAACTGGATCTAAAGAATTGTGTAAGATCAACTTACCGCTTATTGGGTCGGTGCAGTAGGCACATTTCTTTGCAAACAAGTTGCAGAAGCACTCAAGGCAGTAGGTTACATCATCTCGAGAGGTGAATCTCTTGCCAGCAAGCTGCATTTTGCAGCCAATACAAAGAAAGCATTCCTTATGCCAGGGCTGGTCATGGTAGCTCACCCCTCCAGTCGTTATGGGCTGAGAAATGGAAAGAAAAAAAGCCAGAACAAAAAAGTAAGAAAAGAGATCTTGAATCACAACAACATTTATGTGTAATAAGATTTTTTTTAAAAATCCAGGAATAGAATAGCAGAACCTTTTCATTGATTAACCATTTATATTTAGGTTTTATTACATTTTAAAATGAAAAAGAGATCAAGAAACCTAAATATTTGGTAGTACAAAAAGCTAAAAGCCAACCAAAAGCTAAATGCTGAGAGGTGACTATCATGGGGAAATGGTCATTTTAGGTAAAAATAAAAACACAGAATGTTTCCTTAAGTTTTACTACCAGGGAAGCAAACATTAAAACAACTTAAGCAGTCATGTTTTGTTACATCTTGAAGAAAATAAAAATGAATCATAAGATAAATGCTGACAAGAGGTGAATAGATAGATACCCAAAAAGTTTAATCAAGTAAGAGTAGCACTACTTTAACGTTTTCTTACTCCGTTACAAAGTTGTCATACAAGAAATTACTCAAGTAAAAGTAAATAAGTGCTTAGTAAAATAGATAATCAGATACAGAGTAACTTTGGTTCCTAATATCTGATTTAAAAATGATGTAATTAGACATAGAGCTTTTTGAAAACTCTGGTGTTTTAAAGTAAAATTAAAATACAAATACGTAACATTATTATAAAAATAGTAAATTTGGATAGAAGAAAAACGTTTCCATACCATTTGTTTTTAGCATAAAATTATAAACGCAATCCTAACAGTAGGTTTTGTATATATGCAAAGAAAGGAGAAACAACCTCTGGTTACAATATCTAATGTATTTTATCCTAATCTACAAAAAGCTCAAGTTACTGTGGAGGGTAGGGCAGAAATTATAATCAACTAAGGTTACCATTATACTGACAAGAATATAACTTAAAGGTGTAGTAGAGGATACTCTTTATCCAGATGGATCATTAAAATAAGTGGTCCACCTAATTGACAATCATTCTGGTGATATGTTTATGTAACCCATTTTCACTTACTGGCGGTGAGTCTGAAATAGTGGAAAAATTGCAAATCTTCTTTTGGAAAGTAAGCTTGTATGATTGATGCAAACAGAAACTTTTAAACAGGGCATGCACAAGGAGAAATGGGCTCGTGCATGCCCTCACACCCTTTCAATAGCACTCTGAAAAGCTGTACTAAATGGAATTTCTTTGTGTATACACTCTGGGCCGGATTTATCAAGATCCAATTTTGCGTGCAGTAATTTGCGCTCGCAAAGTGGAATTTTGCGCGAGGGGCTGAACCATGGTTTGCGGGTGATTTAACAAGAGCGATTGCGTAACTGGTGGCAGGCGCAAAACTGTTGGAGACGCCCTATTTAAATGATGGTTTTGCGCGTTTTGTGGTTTGCGGCAAAGTAGTTTGTAGTTTGTGCAAACTAGTGCATTAAGAAATTTTAATCTTACAGTGACACCACCCCCTCCAAAAAAAGAAAGAAATATATATATATATATATATATATATATATAAACTTTGGCAACCTTTATTCCCTAAGGTGGTATGTGGCTGAATTTCTACTTCACCGCAGTAAGAAAAAAACACACAAACAAAAATAAAACAGGTGTTTTTTATCGGCCTGTAGAAAAATGCACATACCAAATGGCTCACAAGAAGTGACTGTGGATAAGATGACTGCATTGGCATGTTGCTCCACAGGCGCAGGGTGTCGGGGTTCTCCGGTAGGGCGTCAGGGCGAGATGGCATTTAGAACGTCGGACAGCACTTCTGAAAAACGAGATTGGGAGATCCCAGATGCAAAAAAGTGCAATGTTGCAAGGAGTTTCGTGATATCTGGTATTGCGTGGGTCCTCCTTGTGCCTGGCTCCAAATCCATTCGGAGTTCCCCCAACAGCTCCAAAATGGCAATGCTGGATAAACGATATGTTTTGATGATCGTTTCCTCGTTCATTCCAAAAATATTCACACGGAGTGAAAAAATGCGTTCTCTGCGTCTCCTTGCTTCATTTCGATGTCTCCTCTTGCGACAATAACCGCTGCCATGTGTGCGCAATTACGCATACAGACCATTTGCACCTTCTTTTGAAACGTGTTAAATATAGAGTCAGATACCGTTAGCAAAATTGCTTTCAGGTTTGATAAATCACTTTGCGAGTGCTAAATTAATATATTTACATGTTATCCTCCCACAAGACGCACTTTTGCGTGTAAACGCCCTATATTGAATATTCATTGCAGAAAAAGTACTAAATGGATAAGAGACGCTATTTAGCACGTTTTAAAGACCAAATCCTTTTAGCACGCTGTTGATAGATCAGTTTGTACATTTTTTTGCGTGCGCAGTGAAATAGCTCACGTTTTAATACACGCAAACCTTTGATAAATCCGGCCCTCTGTGTATACAAATTTCCTATAAAAGTTGTCTAAATCCCTCTGAGGAGCGGGTGCAGGGTTGTGCATGTGCATGTGCATGTGCATGTGCAAGTGGAGAGGGCGGGTCTTTTCAAAATTTCGCAAAAATCCTGCACTAAACCTTTAGTAAAAGTAAAAAGTATGGTAAAGTACAAGTACTCAAGAAAAGTAATTTTTCTTCTAGAACTTGTTCACGTAAATATAGCTAAATGTACCTAGTTTCTACCCACCTCTGAACCTGACTAACACTAAAAGTATGGAGGTAAATAAAAAACACAAATTCCTTACAATTTTAAAACTGATTGCTCAAAGCTAAAAATAACTTAAGGCAAATTATGTAAAAAAGGTATAGACAAACTGCTAAAAAAGCAGAAAACATTTTCTGAAAAACTGAAGTCTAACAAATTAAACATGAATTATGATTGTTAAAGACAGTGAGATCTGGGATTCAAGCTAAAAGCTGAGCAACATTAAAGCGGAAGGTTAAAACTACAGTCTAACTGACTAAAGCTGAGGATAACAGAGATAAATATTTGGAATTATATCTAAAATCTAAGGGAAATTAGCAATAACAGCCAATCCACCAAGCTTATTCTGATTTAAGCTAAAGCCTAACTATCATCAAGCTTAATCTAATTTAAAATCAAGCCTTTTTCTAGATTTTAAGAATTTTTTAGATGACTAAAATATATTATGATCACTCACTTGGCTTAATATCTGTAACTTTCATCATAATGTAATGTAGATGTTTTTTCTAAAACCCTTTACTTCATCTTTATAAAACAGTGTGACACCATTCTGTAGTCATTTTATCTGTTTGTTGCTGACTTTTTCACCAGTGTAACAGATGACGACTCCCTGCGCCAACTTTTATGACAAAAATACGCCTCCGACTCCTGCCTGCCTGACCATCTGTTTTTTTCTCTACATTTGTTATTTATCAAACTTGCTGCAGTGCAATTAGTCAAACAGTGCTAAAGCTTCATATGTGTTGAAAGAATGCAATGTGCAGTATATTCGCGTATATTGGTTTATATAGGAGAGAGAGGGAGTTGGGACAGTTAAAATGATGGAATATGATTGGGCTCGTTACCTTCTTGCAGTGCACACACTGCAGGGCAAACAGTTTCTCATAGCAATCCAGACAGTAGTTGTTGCCATCCTTCTTGACAAAACTCTTAGTGCCCATGGGCTGCTGGCAGGATTTGCAGGTGAAACATTTCTCATGCCAACTGATGCCCTTATGCTCCATCTTCTTGGTCCCTTTATTGGGGATATTGAGTCACAGAGTTCCTTTATTTTCAAGATTTCATTCTTCTTTCAAAATGAACATGTATAGTGTATTTAAATCGTTAAAGAAATAGCACCATTTTTTTTTCTACCTGGCATGATAGTCTTCGTGCATGCATTGCACTTGGAGGAATACTCAGCACAGTAGCAGTCAGTGCACATCAGGAGGTCGTCCTTGGTTGCAAACGGCCGATCTACCAGGGATGTGCTGCACATGTTGCAGAGGAAGCACTCACTGTGCCAGTGAAGGTCCTTAAAGGACAGATCCTTTAAAAAAAGACAAAAGGGTCAGATTTTTATTTATCTGACTTAAATATTCAGCTTGCTAAACACATTCTAAAATAATTAAAGAGAGATTAACAAGATTTCTTTATTTGCTGGAATGGAATAAGAGCTATTTTTAAATCTTAGCTTAGACTCCCTTAAGAATTATAGTTAAAGAATTTTATTTGAGTCCTTCCAGCTTGCCCTATAGTCAGGGTCGCTATGACTTGGCAAAGCTTTTACGCCAGATGTCCTTCCTGATGCAACTAGTGTTACACAGCTGCTCCCCTGCTTTACAGTCAAATGCTCAGACCATTTCCCCAATGGGGACTAATTATAAGACAATATTATGAGCATAAAGAACTTTAATAGGGGATATAAACACCTGAGCCACTTGGCAACCCATTTTCTTTACTCCTTACTATTAAATATTGTTTCATTTATGATTCTATTAAGATGATTACTGGGTTACTTACGCAGATGCCTGTTGAATGTAATTAGCATCCTCAGACACAAAAAACCTATGCACTATTTTCTAGAACTGGTATAAATAATTTGGTATCTACAGTATGTTCATATCGAAAGTTTTCTGTATTTTTTTTTCCTGCTCATTGAGGACATGTATTTCAGTGTTAAAGTCACTACTGGTTAGCCTCGTGAGACCATCCTGATCTCGCGAGCTTTCAAGGTTTCACTCGCAGATCAGTCTGGCTACTTTCCGTTAAAGAAAATTTGGAGCCGTTCACCAAACGAACGTCCAATCAGCGTTGGCTTTGAGGCGGGTTGAGGTGTGACGCAACGAGAAGCGCGACAGTTCAGTCTAAAGAACATGGCGGCTTCAGCCGATGAAACTAGCGTTAGCGTGGCTATCGAGCAAGTTTTATCGGAATTGCAGAGTATTTCTTCACTGAAAGAAGAGCAAAACACTGCTCTGGAGGCTTTTCTCAGAGGAAAAGATGTTTTTGCTCTTCTCCCGACTGGTTTCGGCAAGAGTTTGATCTATCAATTGGCTCCTCTTCGTCGTCGCTCTGTTAGTACGTCATATGCTTTGTTGATCTGATTGGTTTATTTGGCCCGTCTATCACCAACATAGGCCAATCAGCTAACCAGTATTTTCGCCCCTTCCCAAAATTACTTCAACGGAAGGTTTCCAGATGGATATGCGAAGCAAATCCATCTGGCGGAGTCAGGTTAACTACTGGTTAGCTTCAGAAAAAAGAAAACCTTTAGGAAGTGCAAGGGTGTAACAAAAAAAATTTAAAGTTGGAGAAAACAGACTAGATATGAATATCTATCTATCTATCTTATCTATCTATAGTGCCTTTTCATAAGTTCATTGGTTAGTTTGTAACCAGATTTTAAGGTATAATATATCGCACACTGAATGTCACAGAAGTATACGAAAATTCAACCTTTTAATTTGCAAGCAAAGCTTAGAAATGAAAGTGTTCCCGTTTTTTTTGGTGGGAAATATTATCGTTACATCCATTCCTGGTTGCTTTCTCATCAGCCTTACTATTGGAGATTCAGGGCTTTCGATGTTACCCAAGTAAGCTTTGAATAGATAAACTAGGAAGATTATTATTATTTGTCCTACACTGTAAAAACGATCTAGAAATAAGTGAAACTTTCTTAAACTAAGTGTATTTATCCTCATTTTAAGTAGGTAAATGAGATAGTTTGCCAATGGAATGGGTATTTTTACTCTTAAAATAAGATAATTAGATAAAATGCACTTGAAATAAGACAATGCAATTGTGTTTTCTTATTTTAAATGTAAATTGTCTTTTTCCATTGGCAAAATGTCTCTTTTACCTCAAACTCAATTCAAGAACAAATGCACTTATTTAAAGAAAAAATTACTTATCTAGATTTCCATTTTTTTCCCAGTGTATAGCATTCTTAAAGAAGAAAAAAAAGTTGCATGTTGGTTTCCTTTGCCACAATGTAGAAGCTTATACATATAATGCAACACTCCTTACTGCAACAGGAAAGTAGAAAAGATACATTCAAAAGCTTCAGGGAGTCATTTAAGTCACAGGAATGTTGAAAACCTGAAAGCTTTAGCACTGATATATAAATTGAGACAAAAATCTTGAAACGTCCTTGTTTGAAACTGAACCTCAACTAGTGAGGTTTTTTCGTTAGAAATAAATTCACAGAAGCAAAAATTCGGCATTTATGACCAAATGTCAACTTGCTGTTTGCTTTCAGCAGACAAATGCTAAAGTTTTAGGATAAATTTGAGATAAAGGGGCTAGACTGGATAATAAATTAAAAAAACTTGGAAGTACCACCTTGGCGGTGCAGCTAATAAGCTTCTGGCACATTTCACAGTTGCTGGAGAAGAGCTCTTCATAGCACTTGATGCAGTAGGGACTTTCCTCCTTAAGGATGTACTTCTGCCCGTACAGGGAGTCCTTGCATTCTGTGCAGTCATAGCGCTCAGACATTATGCTTCAGATGTCCTCACAAAAGTCTTCTTCTCTGCAAAATAAGACTAGATTAGCTCAAATGAAGCAACAGTAATTAAATAACTTTACAGAACAATTAATGGCCATGACTACGAAATTAGATTGAGTTTTGTCATGTTCCAGAGGAAATTTTGAGGCAGAACAGAACAGAACAGCCTCAAGATCATGAGGTTGTCCTTAACAGGCATTTATGAAGTACTACATTTGACAAATTAGGCAGTGGAATGCCGCAAACTTTGGGGTATATTCTACTTTATAAATGGAAGTGAAGTAACTTAAATATTAGTTTTTATTCCACAATGAAGTTCTCAGGCTTTATGTTGAATGTGGCTTGGGAATCACTTCGTGAAGTTACAGGTAATTTATACTTAACTATCCAAAACGCCTGTTGAGGATAACAGCTACAAGAATACCAGGCATCTTATGTGTAAATACATTGATTTGCTACTATTTATCTGGTCTTTTAACATGTTACTTTCTCATATTAACTCAGTATAATTTACACAGCTTGACTACCTCTATTACACATATAAAAACCACAGAGGCTCTGTTTAAACACTGTTTAGATATTGTTTGTTCTGTTTTGACCACTTTAATCTATGTCATACCCATTGTGCTGCCCTAATGCTTTAAAACAATGGTATTCGCTTAATTTACAGTACATTCTCCGACATCCTTCAACAATCTTTTACTCCATATTTTTTTATTGAACCACAGTCACTACAGTATTAGCTTCTGCAATAACAGCTTGTGTTACTTTCATAACTTTATATTGTTAGAAAAAGAACAACAAAGGTTTGCATTAACTAGTTAGTTAAGACTAGGCTTAAAAGTTTCTGTTTTAGAGTTGGAGTGGCCCAGGTTATCCTAAGCTGTCTCTGTAGTTATGCTGCTATAGACTTAGGCTGCTGGAGGACAAAGCAACCACTTTTCATCTTTTACTTCATTCTATTTCTGTTCTTGAATTCTTCAGTATTTGCTAGTTCAGCCTCTAACTGTTTGTTCTCTTTGTTTTCTCTCGTCATCATAGCTTCATTTGGTGAGGTTCTGTCTACTGGGAGACCATCCTGGGGGGAAATATCAGCTGGGCTACTGCCATCATGATCTCAGATAATAGATGATAAATTTGGGCCTGTTTTTTAGTGCTCAGTCCTTGCTCTGCTTTTTTCTGTGACTAACTGTATGTGCTCCCTTCCATCTTTTCAACATGGCTCAGTCCTCACTTGTTTAACTGTTTCTTTCCCAGCCAGAGCCACTTAAGCTAGTTTACCATTACCTTTTTTTTTTTTTTTTTTTAAATAAACAGTATATGTGGATCACTGTTTCTATGTTCCTTTTTTATAACTGCTGTCCTTGAATCTCAGTCGGCCTCGCCAGAAGGCCTCTCTACCCGAGTCTGGTTCTGCTGAAGTTTTCCTACTTTTATCTCTACTGTCGCTGCATGCATGCTTGGTGTGAGGGATTGCTGAAGAGTCAAAGACAAAATGTAAGCAAATATCTGCTTTTTCATACAGGAGAAGCGAATCCTGCAAAGTCAATGAGATGATGCAATTAGCAGTTTTTTCTTAAAACATTTTGAACTAATCTAACTGAATGATCTGATTAAATTCTCTCTTTTAAGAACCTAGAGATGTAATTTGTTTAAAGAATGGCTTTAGGTTTTATGTTTCCAAAAGAGGGATTTAGAAAATAGTTTTTTTTTTGCATGGGATACATTTTGTAATCTTGTTATTTTCTGTATTTTGTTCATTTTTGTCTACAATTTTCGGCTGATATTTTAAATATGAAAAAAAAATAATAATAATTTAAGCTGATAAAACAATACCCTCATTTGAAGTTAGCATTCACTTTTATATACAATGCAAGTTGATTTATGTAGAATATTTTAGTAGCAAGCCAAGTAAAAGTGCTGTACATCAAAAAAGCACAATAGAATAGTTTATTGTGGTAGCTTGAAAAGTGAAGCATTAATGAACACGAATAATTAAACATAATAAAAACAAATAATTAAATAGGACTAAAATGACTGATTAGAAATAACAAAGTAAGGAAATTTGGACTGAAAACTTGATGTTTAGATAAAACTTTCAAATGTCACTGTGAACAAATATACATTTAATCCAAATGTACATAAACTGAGGGTTTTTGTGCTTTTACAGGTTTCTGGAAGCTTGATTCAGATTAATGGAACATAAATAAAAGCTGCTTTTTTTTTTGGTAAACTTTCTCATTAGCTTTGAAAACCTCCCAATACAATCTCCTTCATCCGCCTTAAGAATCATGAATAAAAACAGTGATCTATGCCTCTACTTTAAATAGAAGCAGAATCCATTCATCTTGTGACAAACTTCCATAAATGCAATTTAGTGCCTAGGTTCTGCCATGACCCTGTCTGCCCTCTTTGCCCATTGCCATACTTCCAAAGATCCTTTGGTAGTTTAACTAATATGGTCAGCTTTAAGTGGAATTGGGATTATAATTGTCCAAACAATAATCACTGTTGAATTAAGGTTTCCCTCCAGGTTTGAGGCAAAAATCCCAGACTTGGAGAGCAAAGTTAGAGCATAAAGTTCTTACCTGAGTGTCAGCTGAGCTGTCTGCTTACACTCTGAGACCAGAGGTGTGTGCAGTACAGAGTACTTCAGGATGTTTATTAAATTAGACCAAAATGAGACCCGTGATGTTACAGGAGGGTGGAGAAGAGGGATGCAACCACAGTGAACAGGCTGGGTTATGTTAAGGCTGTTATAAAATCTCAGAAATGTGATGATACACTGTTCAAAAAAATAAAGGGAACACTTAAACAACATGTTAGATCTGAATGAATGAAATATTTTTATGAAATACTTTCCTCTGTAGATTAGGGCTACTGAAAAAATAAAAAAAAGGTTAACTGATTTTTAAATTTTATTTCAGTATGAGAAAAAAGTCAGAACTCTGAGATTACAGTCAGAATTCTGACTTTTTTCTTATATTAAACTGACATAATATTAAAAAATCTGTTAACTTTTTTTTTATTTTTTCCGTGGCCCTAATCCTCTTCCGTAGAAATGAGAAATATGTGATTCTGCAGAAAATTTAAAAAAGGCATTAAATTATTAGCTTATGCATACATAGTTTGTACATACATATATTTTAACGTGTTGATTAGAGTTAATCCAACGTAAATTCTAATTTCTGCACAAAATTCTTGTAAAAAAAAAAAAAAAAAAAAAATCTTTTTAGCTTTATGTCTATAATCATTCCTGTAACAAAGTGGTTCAGTTTGTGTTCCCCACTTGTCCCTTATTCTTTTCTCTGATTTGTAATGCTTAAAATGTAAATTTGCTTCACTTACTATCCTTAGTGTATTTGTTTTAACCATTATGTCGCAGTTTCCATCTATTTATATATTTAAGTTAAAGCTACTACTTCTGGATTACTATTGGTTGAAATTGTTTATTTTGTTTCAAAGTATATTCATGATATTTGTTTTCCTTTTAACTCACCATTGTTTGTCCAAGTATTTCCTGCTAAATTGGCCAGATGATGTCATTGAGTTATCTTGTATCTATCGTTTATTTCGCAGACTCTTTCATTATGTAGATGAGTTTGTAAATTAGATTAATAAATTTATTCTTGTTTCTCTGTTTAGACTTTGTTTTTTTCTACCTGTTTAATCATGGCTCGGTCCACTTATGTGCAGGTGTGTTGCCAATTGGTTATACAATCATTGAGCTCTTCACTGCAAAAAAAATAAATCTAAATAAGTCATTTTTTCTTAAAACAAGTGCATTTTTTCTTGAATTAAGTATTTAAGTGAGACACTTTGCCAATGGAACAAGACAATTTACACTTAAAATAAGAAAAAAACAATTGCATTGTCTTATTTCAAGTGCATAATATCTAAATACCTTATTTTATAAAAATACTCATTCCATTGGCAAATCATCTTATTTACCTGCTGAAATTAAGGGTAAATACTCTTAATTTAAGACATTTTTACTTATTTTGAGGTCGTTTTTGCAGTGTTGGAAGCTCAGGAGATGGTTGTCAGAGTGAAAAGTTCCAAATAAAAAGACATCAGAGAAATCTGGAACCAGTGGCTGAAGCTGTTTTTTTTTTTTTTTTTTGGTTCATCTTGCTGACCAAACTACTTCACAATTCCACACAGAAAAAAAAAGCTTGAGAAAATCATTAAAACCCCAAATAAGCCTCTCATCTTTACAGCCATTTTTAATGAGCAAATATATCACTGTGTATACAGTGTGTTGCTAACTGATGTAATTAACACCTAAGCATAAAACTGAAAACGGTGATTATCCAACCTCAAACACATCGGTCAAATTCCTTCAAATAAAATTCCCTGTATATCACTAGACGATGCAAAGCATTTAGGACTGAATGTTTGCTCATAGGGGCTCTGTGAACAGGGCGTTGTACTAAGAATGCTTTTTTTTTTAACTAAATCTAATAACGGTGATAGTTTAATGTGATTAGGTATCGTTGCAGAGTTTCCATGAGACATATTTGCTCAGCTTTGTTTGACTAGCTGACCGACCACACGCCTTTATGTTCACACTTCTACATATCCGTCCAAATTCCCATTGATGTATCTAACAGAAACATTTACAACACATTAGATTGTGTTTCTTGGTCATAAAATCAATGTATATTTACAAGATGATCCATTTAAATGTGCGGCGTTTGCTTGCTTAATGTTGTTTAGCCTTAGATCATTGAATTTAAACCATGTGAGGAATCTATTTCGATACAGACTGGCTGACACCGCAGACATCATATTAAAATATAAAATGACACCAAACAGATTAGAAGACAATAGAGGAAGCATTTAGGAAGAAAACATCAAAGAACACAAAAATAAACTTCTGTACTGTAGGGTCACCAGTTAAAAACCCTGCTCCATCTGCCTGGTATATACAGTAGTCGAAGCTTTAAACTGTGCACTAAGTGGTGTGCATCAACAGTGATGCAATTGGGCACGCGATTGCGCACTTGCATATTTTCACAACTTAGCCTGGAGTTCTTGTTTCCTTGGGCAACACACTTGCTCACCCGCTTTCCCTACTGATGGTAGTCAGAGGGCCCGGTGGGACCAGGGCCAGGCCAGGGCATCTGAGGCTACAATGTAGCTTACCACCATCGGCGTATGAATGAATGACTGAATGCAGTGTAAAGCGCTTTGGAGTCTCCTGACTTGAAAAAATCTATACAAGTAGACTACATGCTAACATTTGAGGGTATGGATGAAGCTAATTAGCTGTTATTGGCAAAGATCATCGTCTCTGTATGATAGTAGTATAGAAATAAATCAGAGAGACTAATAGCTATTACACATGATCAGGATTTAAATCTGCGCCATACTCGAGAATATCAATATGAAAAGCTTAAAATTAACTATTTGACAACAAAAACTTAATTAATTTGATTGTGAATCCGGTTTGTGATCCATTTTTTAGTAGATTAAATCGGGTTCAATAATGAGTTCATTATTTTAAACGGTCTTGGCTTGACAACAAATGCTTTATTATGGTTTAGTTGTGCATTGTTTAGATTATTTTATCACTTCTAAAAGTCACAGGAATTTTTGATTTGAAAAAGTCTGATTTCTTTTTCGAATAAAGAATTCTAAGAGAATCCTAATTATCGGTGTTTAGGTAAACTTGGAAAAACAGTAAGGCAATTTGAGGTCCTACATCTGCAAAAGCTTTTCCTGATGGAAAAACCACATAACTAAGAAACATTAGTCAATTCATATACATATAAATAAAAGTCTAATGTTTCTGTGCATGTTGACATTTTGTACATTACAGCAGCAGGGCAGGTCATACATCTCCTGATGCTCAGCTGAGTTTATGAAATCCTCAATCAATGTAATTGATGAATTATAAATCATATGTCTCATTTAACGTCCTTCCTGCTCCTGATTTGACCGAGATAAAGACGATGCAACTCAAACAAGTCAGGGACTGTGTTCAACAGACAGATGCTGAATGAGAGCTAAATAGGAAGGAGAACGTTAAGAGTAAAGGCAGGGAGGTTAATTAATAATAAATGAGTTGACTACTTGACCCTTCAGGATGTAATTCTCTTTCCTTTTATGGCACTAGTGTCTCGTTTTTTTCGACAGTAGGATGACAGGAAAGGGGGTATGAGAGAGGAGGAGAGAAATGTGACAAAGGACCACAGGTCAGATTTGAACCCGGGTCAGCCGGAACGAGGACTAAGGCCTAAGAACGTGGGTCGTACGTGCTAAACCAATGTTATTAATTCTCTTAAACGTGTGTTTTTTGTTGTTGTTTTTTTTTAGAAAAGTAACATGGTTCCAATGTACCAATGAGAGTGTTTAATCTGTATTTAATCAAATTAGTTTTTGGACAAGTAATAAGATGGGAAATTAAATAAAAATCACTTTAGAGAAAAGTACTATATAAAAAGGAATCAAACCAGTTAGTTTTTGTTTGGTTTAGAAGTATTCAATAATTATTCTAATCTCTAACATCCAATAATAAGAAGAATCACAGTCGGGCAAGTTGTATTTTTTTTTTTTCTTTTTTGTATTCAGTAGTTTAGACCAAGATCAAATCTTTACTTCAACTCTAAAAAAGCAGAACCAACCCAAATCATCACCCCTCGACTGCCGTGCTTTACAGTAGATATGAAGTGTTATATGCTGGTATTCTGCACTGGATTTTTTTATTGATATCAAAAAGCACTTCTACTTTGGTTTCACTCAAAAATAACTTCTGACGTTTGTGTTAGATTCTGACTGCCTCTTGCAGACCCTTAAATTTAACATATTGTGCAACAAACACACAGAGAAAGAGTTTTTTAAAAAATACTGCTGGATTTCTCTTTTTTTCTCTCTTTTTATGATGGCGCTATTTCAGGGGTGGAAAGTAATTAATTACATTTACTGAAGTTACTGTAATTGAGTACTTTTTATGAGTAATTTGTAATTGTCTGAGTAGTTTTTGAAATATGTAATTTTTACTTTTACTCGAGTACATTTTAACCTAAGTAGTTTTACTTTGCTACATTTAAAACTTCCTCACGCTACTGAGTAAAAAAAAAAAAAATATATATATATATATATATATATATATATTTATATATATTGATGGTGAAAAAATTAGGCGATGGGTAGCAGCCAAAACGTTGCAATTTCACATAATCCTGACGAGATCCGAAAAATCGTAGCAAAAACTAGCAAGCGGGTGATCATGTATGTTCACTAAGTAAATATTATGTAAATAAACCCTACACTTCTCGCTATAAATGTAATCAAAACCCATTTAAATGCAGAAACTGATTGAAATGATTGATTTTCCCACTAAAAGTTAGAGAAATCTCAGCCATGTTTATACCAAAATGTTACAGTTTCACATTATCTTGAAAAATCTTTGCAAGAAACGAACAAGCAAGTGAATATGTACATTCCCTGAGTAAATATTCTGACAACAAACTATACATTTCTCACTAGAAATGTAATCAAAACTCATTTTAATGCAAAAACAAACTCAAGTCATTAATCTTTCCACAAAAAATGAGCGAATGTCGGCGATATATATATATATTTTTTTCTTCTCCCAGCTGGAATCTTGAAAGTCACGTGACTAGGACGTAAAACAATAGAAAGCGTATAGGCAGAAGA